TAGAGATGAAAAATAGTACGTTAATCTCTTAAGAAACACATATGAAAAGTGCTAATTTTCATTACAAATATCTCAGCTTTCGAAAATAGTCAATCTTTTTCTAATTGCACGAACAATGGAATTAGATAATATTTCAATGTACACGAAGTACAATCATCGAATTCTCATCAAACTCATCTCGCTTTACAACCTCCTTTAAAATTGAATAAAGTTGAAAGTGGAATAACTTTTGATTCGGGCTCTGAATTACCGTCAAACTTTTAGTGTCACTTTTAAATGCGATGTAGGTCAATTTGTAATTTTTCCATAATTTTTCCACTACTTCGAGTTACGGGCATATATTTTTAACGCAGAGCGCCTCGACTCGGCCGCTGTCTCGGAGGATTTTCGTCACGGAGTGTAGCCGAACGGTTTGCGGCCGAGGGAGACTCGCGAGAGAGTCCCGTGCGCGCTTATGAACGCGGCTCCGCCGGAGTGAGCGGCCAGTGCAGCGCGGTGCAGCGACGCGGTGCAGCACGCGGTGCAGCTGCAGCTGCGTCGGATAGTTGGTCGAGGCATGTGCGCCGAGTAACGGCTAATTGGCCACCTTTCCTCTCCGGGAGAGGAGCCGTCTCTCTCTCTCTCTCTCTCACTCGTTCTCGCTGTTGAGGCCTGACTCGTGCCAGTTTTGTTCGTTCTGTCGTGCGGTTTATACCGAGCGCGGCTGGAGCCTCCGACTCTACGGGAGAATTATGGTGTCTTGGTGCCGGGGATTTTCTTGAAGACGCCGGTGTTGCCGAACTATTTACGCTGTAAGTCGTAGTAACTCGGTCGCGGTCATCATTTTTCGTCATTTTTCATCTTTTCAAGGCGTGCATTGAAAAATGAGTTTAGTTGGATCTACCTGGCCGAACGTGCAACCAAACGCGTTTTGATCGAGGGGAACAGAACTTCTGCCTGTAAGAACCAAATTTGGCTCACGGGAGCTAGAAAAATTTTATTTTCTTCAATCAAAGCGTGTTTCGGCTGTCCATTATCAAGCCCAGATTCAACCAAACTCGTTTCTTGCTGTGGAACGAGAGTACGGTAATATTTTTTTCGTCGATGCGCGAGCATTTCTTCGCGGCTGAGATAGATGTAATAAAAATTCGATCCTCACGGAGTGAGACGGGTGATCCTCGATGTAGTCTGCGGGGATTTTGAGGAATGAAGTTCTCTCGGTTACGAAGTCTCGCGGCCACGAAGAGTGCCTCGCTCCGAATTGACCGCGCGAGTGATCGCCGTGAAAGTGTATCGAACAAGAAGCCTAATTGTGCGCGCCGGGCTTTTATTAACGTAATGCGTCGGCCCGTTATTCGTCGGAAGTCATCGACTTTCTTCGCGGGAAAAAGTTCGATCGCGATCTGCAGGCACGGAATGACGCGTCCGGGCAATACGTTATTTCGCCGTCGTCGCCGTTTTTCGCGTTGCCGGTGGCGACAGTGAGAATTCGCCTGGACGGGATCTCTCTTCGTTTTCCGAAAGAACGAGTTTCTTTCTCCGCTTGGCCGCTTCTCACTTGCCGCAATCGGGACGAAGTTTCATCGGCGGAACGTACTTTCAGAGAGCACGCAGCGTGGGTATTAATAGCGAACTAACTGTCGCCGACATATCAAACATGCGGCAATAAAGATCGTAAACTTACGCTCCTTCTAGATACTCTCAAGTTCCAGCGAGTGACGTCACATAATAACGCAAAACGTGCGCGTGCCTCAGCCTGCTGGCTCAGCGGCACGGATCTCGCGGCGACTCCCGTGCGCTTTCGCCTCCCGCGCGATATTTTCCAGTTTCTCCATCATGTTCCGCGAATTCTCGTTAAAACCTGCGAATAACTCCCTTTACAGAAGTGCTCCCTTCCCCCGTCGATTTTTCCTCGCTCGAACTGGCGATGTTCGTCGATTTTACGAGCAACGCCGTCTCGGAGCGAATTGCTCCGAGGTAATACCTGCGGACGCGGCCGGATCTAATTGAAAATGTCATTCTGACTGAGCGGTGTGCACTTCGATTCTTCCCGAAATTCACATAAATACCGGAGGGTACACGGAGAAAGTATTGTAGTAGAAATTTCCACGAAATTTCATAATGCTGGATCATACCGGAATTATGACTGAAATTATTATCCGTATTATGATCTTTAATGTACACATGAAATACATTACTAAAGATTACGACACACATAATTTCAGTCATAATTTCGGTATGGCCTAGGATTACAAAATTTTGTGGTAATTTCTACTACAAAATCTTCACCGTGTAGTACTCGAAGTTTCGAAACTTCGATGTAATTCGACATTTGATTCGACGAAGTTCAAAGATTCGAAATCGAATTATTGGAAGTTTCGAGCTTTATTCGAAGATCCGAAATGTCGAAACTGTTGATAGAACTAATTTTGGAGAGTACAACAAAATGCTATGCAATTAAAGAGTATCCGTAGTATTGAACCTAAATAACATTAAAATATCCTAAGACGTCATAAAGACTTTTTTAGACAATAAGGCGTCTTCTAGACGTATGTATTGTTCGGATATCTTTAGTTCAGTTCTGAAATTTGTATTCATCTAGTTTAAAACAAAATGAATGAGGAAAGTACAAATAATAAACAATAAATTTCATTATCTTTATTTTAAAATAAATACAAATTTTGCCATGATATTCAACGACATAACCGCGAGAAAAAATTATATTCTTTAGGCCGACAAATATTATTTACTGTGCCTGCAAGATGAAAGATACACACATACTTCCTGGTTCTGAAAGTTTCGAATATCGAATGTTCAAATTTTTATACTTCAAAATTTCATTATTCGAATATAACGTGTAGTAACGTTCAGAAATTCAACGCTTCAAAGAGCTTCGAGTGTAACTTTTATGTGTAACCTATACGTAAATACATACGTTCGCATACTCGTTTTCAGAATTGAAGGAGCAGGTGAGAATTTTAAAGATAAAACAAGCAGGTGTATCTGCTGAACGAACGCGTCGCGAGCACGCACGTTCCCCCTTATTCCGGCAGAAGATCGTGCATTGTGTTACGCAGGGAGCTCAGACGCTGTTCGCGTATTCCGGAACGGAAGGAGTCCGAGGTGCGCTGCTTTGTTATTAACATAACGGTTCAATTATCTCTCCCCTCTCCGCGAGGAAAACTCACTCGCGATGTTGCACAAGGTTAAGAGTGGGTTAACGAGGGGACGCTTTGAACGTAAATGAGGGAGATCTGCCGGCGTGTCTGGTCTTAGCGCGCGCGGCTTAATCGTCCGGCTAATTCTGAGTTTCGCACGCGAGCGACGATTTACGCCGAAAGGGAATTACGATCTAGTTATCTGCCGTTCCAGTTACGGCCGCTGGCGAGCGCGTGTCGTCATGCACGCTCCGAAATCCATCGTCGGGGCATCTTCGCAAACTGTCACCGCCAACTGATACTGGACGGCTAATTTCGCTTCCGACGACTCGGGAGAACCCGAAGGTGTTCTTTGCGACACAAAGTGTCAGTCGACAGGGCGTCAGTCAAAGTCGAGTAGAAAATGAGACGCGCACGATTTACACGCGTAAGAAAGCCCAGAAGCGAGCGCAGACGATTAATAATTAAAGCAACACCGGGCCTACCGGCGTTAATTGCACCTATCATCGGGAACCGGTTAGCGCCAGAGGTGCGAGCGCGCGTCGTGACGACTGATCGCGAAGAGAGGAAACAGGATAGTGACGATTTATCGGTCTTTCTGTTTAGCGAGCTGCTTCATGCGCTCAGTTTTCCGGTTGATGATGATGCACGTGTGCTCCGAAAATCGTCGGACGATGCGCGATCGTGCGCCAAGCGACAGTTAATGAACCAGGGTTGGCCGTTTATCCATAAAATACAATAGCTTACGTGTAGGCAATGTAAACTGTGTATAATATGTCATCTGTGTAGACAATAAGTAATCTGTGAATCGTTATATGGAATAGCTCGTGTTCTTCTTACATTTTGTAAGTCTTAATTTTATATCTTGTTTTTGTTAAAAGCCCACCAGGTAAACCTGAATTGTAACTTTTTAATTTTTAATATTAAGTATCTTTATAATTAGCAAAATCGGATACTAATTATTTTATAGAGTTAACTATTTTATAGAGTTTAAACTAATATAGACTAATAATTGACCTTTTTTACACTATACTAAGTAACTTAGATCATTTCGAAAGGTTCCGCTACTTCCATCCGTATATCGCTCACGTCTGTCTCATATTGACCTCGTCACAATGATTAGTAATTTTGCGTGTTATGCGATTGTGGACATGCGATTTCCCTACACCCATAATTCACAGTTTTAAACAGTCTGTTATTTCAGCGTTGCCACGCTGACTAGATAGCGAACAACAGGTCTTAAATTCATAATAATTTAGCAATTTAATATAATACATATAATAATTTACAATTATGAACTTTATGTTTTATTTGTTCTGTAAATTCGTAACTTGGTTTAATCTTTACTTTTGTATTTTCCTTTTCTCTCTTAAAACAGAGTTATCCCGTAAAATAAATAATAATAACTTATATTTTACATAATTTACATTGTCTCTACGTAAAACAATCAGTATAAATATCATGCAGACAATACATAAATTATCCATGTGGACATAAAATCTAGGGCACAACCCTGATTTGTGTGTGAACCGTGACGGTGCATGGAATATTAAAACTATTAAAAAAGGAACGACATAAAACAGTATAAATAGTAAATATAGAAGTTTAATTTTTCATCTTTATCCTCTCGTTAGATTTAAATTATCGTGTTTAACATCCAACTCTTACAACTTTCTCATTTTTGCTGGTTGTTTACCATCGAAGTACATTTATAATATCTTTATTCAAAAAATGTAAGTTGAATCAATTATAAGTTACGATCGATCGCGCCAACGCACGATTAACGCGATCTGCGGGATCTTATTTTCCGAACTCGTCCACGTAGACACGTCCGTTAATCATCCGTGTCAATTTGTGTTGCAGGTCTCCGCGAGTCGGAGGTCCTCTTTCGCAGTCGTTAGCTATGATCCCGCCGACCATGCACGGACACGAGTTCAATCAGCCCTTGTCGAGGGTGGTCATGGTCCGTAAAACGGACCAAAGGACTTTCAGTAAAGGAAGACGAGGCGGCGAGCCTCTCTTGGAGACCGTCACCAGGGAAACCGTCGAGCTCTTCAACGGCGGTCGGGCCGAGAGGAAGTATACTTCCGAAACGAGGGACATCGTTACACCCAAATCTAACAGGTACGACAAACTTGACGATTTCATTTTTATTCGATCAGATATTAGATGCCGTGTACGATTCCCCGTATTTCAAACGTATTTCCCTTTCCGCGCTGTCATTAGTGTGATTTAATGATGTAACAAAGTTCAAGACAAATGCGTAAGCGATAAAATTGAGATGTTTTGTAGCGAGCAGAATATGAAGTTATACAAGTCGGTATCGGCAAGTAATGATTTGGATGGTAATGAATAGCCGCTTCTCGACCGTAATTATCCCGAACGTTATTATACCTGTGCGCCTCTCTGATAAAATGTATATTCGAGCGGCGGAATGAATTAATGCGATCGCTGTCACGCAGCGTATCGGAGCGAGAGTGTACACAAGGCTTCGTACAAACCTGCATATTTAGTCAATAGAGAGAAAGATTTTCTCAATTTTACGCACGTATGGGTGCGGTATTGGGGCGTGTGCGACGCCTAATGTACCATTCACGCAGAGAAACAAAGTGCACACGCAAACAAATGCTGTTGTAACAAAACCTGTAACAAAACGTTACAACAGAATTGGCCAACAAAACCGTAATCGGGGTTAATCTTCTTAACTTAACAGTAATATTATTGAAACTAATACTTCATATATTATTCCAATAACTCAAGTATTAATTTCGATGATATTGCACTGAAAAAAAATACTTAAATGTTTATTTGTGGGATATAAATGTTTAAGTATTTTTCTCAATATGCCGTTGAATCAAACAGATTCATTCTGATTAAGGTGCTGCTGATCAATTCTACAAAAAAAATGCTATTAAGATTAAAGTAAAAAATAATTATTCTAATACTTCTTAATAAATTTTAAAAATATTATTTAAAAATAAAATAAAATATTTACTTGATCCAAGTAAAATTTATCCAAGTAAATCTTTGCTAAGGAATATTGGAATAATTATTTACTTGAACCTTTTTTCTATGTATTGGTATAGAAAATTTTCCACTAATGTTGCCCTATTCCTTAATGACATCGAAAATTTCCAATCAAGGATATTATGTGTGAATATTCATGCATTATGGCTGTAATATAATTTGATGAATCAGCAACGAAGTTCCAAAAGAGCAATCATAATATACAAATATTCAAAAATAACGCACCTGATTAGAAATTTTAAAATTACTATGCTTATAATGGATAACTTATAATGAAAATAGGACAACATTAATGGGGTCTTTTATACAACAGCGTTTGTTTTCCGTGCGAAAATTGCAGATGAAACCAGTAGTTCTTAAAAGATAAATAGCACATAAATAGTATCGTAAATTGCATCTTACTTATTATATTTTGCGGTGGCTGCGCGCGTATACAACTAGCAGTTGGTTTCTCACGTCGGAATTCCGCGTGCGAATTCCATCAAAAGTATAGTTCCGCCTCGGCACAGAGGAGGTCTTGGAAAACCATTGAAGTAGACGATAAATGTACGTTGCGGTATTTAGAACAAATTGATATTACAGCTATAGTATATATATTGTTATACGCCCTTACCTTATAACGAGGTGTTCCTTCGGTGCACGTGGTCGGAGGTGCGTTTCCTTCTTGCACGATCGTGTACCGGAAACTTGTTACATACAGTTCGAAGTAGACAAAACTTTATCCGTCGTAGAGTCAGCTGTCTCGTGTTTCAGTCCCTTTCTCTCGGCCGGTACACGAAGGCACACACACGGTACCCGCTTCTTTCAATAGAACGTAAGATGTGTTCTTTCTTTTTCCTCTTTTTCGGTTTTACGTTATTGCATCTTTCCGGCAGATCATTTCGTCGCGTCACGTCTTATCGCTATTATGGGCGTTGAAATCCCCGTCTTCAGATTTTATCCGCCGCGTGAATCTCGAACCTTATCTCGCTTCCACGACACGTAGTTGACCCTGTATAGTGAGAAGAGAACGCAATTAAAAATGTTCTTTTGTGTGAATCATTGCTCTTGTAGCATGCCGTCGCTCAGCGTGCACGGAACGAAAAAGAAGGTGGTCGGTTTTGTCGATCAGGTGTCGCCGGACAGGTATATAATCGCCTATGTGACGCAGACTAGTCTCACAGTGCGGTCCGAATTCCGATTCCAGTGAAGGGAAGTTAAGCATACGAAAGAATGAGAAAAAAAGAGAGAAAGAGGAAAAGACACATAGACAGACAGCAGAATGGGTGCCGCAGACGGCACGGTACAGTACTTTTACCGGTGTTGTCGTTCATGATACTTTCCGAAACTTCACTAGGATCGGTAAAAGGATCCTAGTTCACTTAGCGTATGTACGGCATAACGACGTATGTGGCATATAGAAAGCCGGGTGACAGCTGAAAGTTCGCGTGCTTACGTCGAAACGGCGAGGGGACGGCGATTCCATAAGAACACGCCGGTAAATTGCTGGCTTTCACGTAACAGGGCGATAATGCCCGTTCGCCGGAAACAAGGCTCGAGCCATCGCCGGGATAAATTGAAAGTACCGGGATCCCGCGTGAGGCTGCGAAGATACGCGCGCGCGTTTCCTCAGATTATCGTCATCAGTGCGCTCCACTCTCATCCGCGCGTGCTCGTCACGCCGTCGCGTCTCGACTCGCGATTTCCCGAATGAATTTATCCGTCACTGATTTTATCGTCACGTTCGACGTGTACATTGCGCCTGACAGCTCCGCTTAATCGCACTCGATCTTATGTAACGCCGCTTTTACGCGCCAGCGAGATCGCGAGAAGAAAAAAGGAATCCCCGACAGGATCGTTTAACCGAGAGATTAATCGCCGCGAGGTCCGTTTTGTCGGGATTAAATCCCCATCGGCGGCGAACACGTTGTCTGCTCGGCGTCGACGATATATGCGATTCCGCCTACGCGGGTGTCGCGGTCGAGAAAAATTTTCCCGGTTGCGACTCGTCTGAATGCGCGTAAGGGCCTGGGCAAAATAAAAAAAAAAAAGAACGAGATGGAAGAGCAATATGGAATAAGGTACAGCGTGACCCAAGACACGCTTCTCGTTTTCTCTCGCTGCTTTTCGAGGAGCTAGTCAAATTAAACTTTTGTCTTCCATGTCCCTTCAACAGTTTCTTCATTCATGAATAATTTTAAACATTGAGATCTGTTTAAATTAACATCACAAGTAAACAATATATTATTTACTTAATTTTATACATTTCTTTCGTTTTGCTTATATTTTGCGAGGAAGTTTGATCGCGAAAAATTACAAGAACTAGTAAACTGGGCAAAGATCGAAATTCGACTAGGAACTCGGCGAGGAAACTCACTTCATTGAGGTTTTGTTTCGTCGAGATTTGAGACGCCTTGTATCGTTATCGTCGGACTCTTATGGCAGACATGTCGGAGACTCGGCTTGGGCGCGACATAACAAAGAAAACGACAGCTTTTCTTCCACGACACTACACGACCGTGGCCGTGGACGCGTCACGGAGGCTCGTAGGAAGGAGGAAGTACCTCTGTCGTGAAGGTAGATGCAACGACGCGCGCGTACGTGGACGAGCGCGCACGGCGAAGTTGCCGTGACCTTTAACGGGGCCTGGTGAGAGATCCCTGAAAATGTTCAGCCGTCCCTCGGCTCTCTGATGTCACCACGTCTTTGGGCTGAATATTAAAATTTCGTTGTTTCACCTCCACGACTCGATTGAAACAGCTTTTTTCAAGCACGCAGATATATTCCGATTCATATAAACGTAGAGATGCAACATTTCCGACGGTTCTCGACGGTTTTTAAGCTCCGTGTAGCCTTCGCTCGAAAGACGTTTCCGTCGTGGCACACTCGTGCGCCATTTGTTCCTTAAAGGTAGTTGTATCGTACACTGAGAGAAAAATATAATCGTTTTCGAGGATAACAATATCCTTTTTATTTTAACCATAAAAATAGCAGTAGCAATATAATAATAATTTACAACCATATTGTAGGTAATCATTATTATACTGCACGCCATTATCTTTTGCAAAAATACAACTCATTTTTAGACATAATATCAAATCAATTACTTTATTTTTTAATTTTGATTAGTAAAAGTTACGTTTTTAAAACAATATGTTAATTAACAATTTTGTGTCAATACACAAAACCATGTCAAAACTTAAAAATTTTCATCTAATTTAGCCCAATATGTCATGAATGCAAATAAAGTGGATGATAACCACGGGCATATTTACAAGTTATGTCATCTAATGTGACGTTTTACGGTCTTCACTGCTCCTCCTTGTTATCACAGATCGTCATGCAAACTAATAAGAACTTCCCTTCCCCCTCGTGATGTGACGTAATTGTTGAACAGCCCCGTATATAGATTTAAAAATACATATTTGATTACTTTTGTCGAAAATTTAAGTTTTGACATGGTTTTGTGTCAATAATCGAAATGTTAAATTTTGTAATATTTATTCTTTTAGAAACACAACTTTTACTAATCAAAGTTATAAAATAAAGTAATTAATTTGATATTATATGCCTAAAAATTATTTGTATTTTAGGAAAAGATAGTAACGTGCAGTCTAATAATTATTACCCACGATATGGTTATAAGTTTTTTTTTATTCTATGTATTGGCGGGAGGGGAGTTTAGCATGACGTAATTGTTAAATGGTCCATCTAGTGCAAGTTTCAATGAATCCTTAAAAAACTTTTTTATACTACAGCTACTTCAACGAGCAGATATCGGCTCGTGAATTACTCGCGACTCGTTGAACCGACATCAGAATATTCTCGGAAGCTGCCGAGAGCGTATCTATTTCACAAACGCGTGGTAATAAATAAACGTGTCCGCGAGCGATCCGACGGAACACGAGCTTCTGAAAACGTATCCGTCTTTGAGTCAACATCCATATTCGCGTGAAGGAACGATTGCGGCGCGCAATTCGCAACGAGTCGTCCCGGCGTATCGCCGTCTCCGCATCGAGATGCGGAGTTAACCGCGCGGCCCGACGAAATTGCTATTCATTAGTCAACGTGCAATCTTGCGCGGAACGAGCGCGGATTTGCATTATGAGCGTATAATAATCGGATATCTGCGGCATGATTTGTTTATATGAACGAGTATTCAGCCCATCATAAAACACACTCTAGGAATAGCTTAAGGACACTGTTGTAATTACACAGCGCTGTCTTAGACGCTCTCTCACGTTCGATCGCTTCGATTCATTGCGCATGCCATAATGATCGTCCGGACAGTCCTCGACATGATCAGGATCATCGCACGTTGTAATTTCGTGTTGGCTTTCCAGCTTACTCACGTCTCATCGGGATGCACGGAATATTAGGGCACCATTTAGAGAATATCGTGTACACATCAGTTAAGTTAAAAGGAACTAAGTCTCAGAGTCGTGCGAATTTTGCCGCACAAACTGCAATCGGGTCAAATTGAACAAAGCAGAGTCAGATCAATGTCAATTTCATATACACCTTGATGGAAGTATTATGCTGAAAATTTCACTGAAATTTTTCTCTCTCAATTGACTCCGTTCCATTATCACTCTGCCAATATAAGTAGTTTTCAGTTAAATTCAGTAAGTTTTAATAGTGATTTTAACTTTCCTTGTATCCGAGTACTGATATACTATGAACTTGATGAACAATGAGACGAAAGTTACTCTGAAAAGTTATTTAAATATATAATAATAAATATTTCAAAATAAATCATAATATTCATCGTGAAATTTAATATATATTTGTGAAATATAATAAAAATTAAAATATAATTCTGAAAAGTAATTAAAAAATTGATAAAATATTATATATCATGATATTTACTGAATTAAACGGAAAACTGTGTATATTAGTGAAATGCGTATGGCAATGAAATTCAATTGAGACAGTATTTCAGCAAAATATTTCCCTCAGAGAATTGAGAGAAAAAATATCTAAAAAATATAAAATATATAAAAATATTTATTCGGTTAGCAATAAAATATATTTATTTGTATTAATATACATGTTTTTGAAAAACAAACATAATTTTTCTCAAATAAGAAAATATATTTTCTTAAATATATATATTTTCACGAAAGCAGCTGTTTATTCTATTAAAATAAAAGAATATAGATTTAAATAAATATATTATTAGTAAATTTAAACGGTATTAAATATTTAACGAAACCATATAGTGCAAATCCAAGTGTGTTATTTTCGCTGAGACTTTTCTTACATATTTCTTACCATTGTAAATTACATCATTTAACACGATCGGATGTGTTAACTTATAATTTAACACGATTAAACGTTTTAAATTACGTAATTTAAAAAGGGAAGAAAAGTGTAAGAAAAGCTTCTATCAAACGTGTCATTTTTAGACATTTATACGTGTGAAAATAACACACTTGGGTTTGCAGTGCGGTTGCACGTATGATAGAGATATTCTTTCATCTATCTATTAAAATGTTGATTCAACTGCACAATATGAATAATTCTACCTCTGTTTTGGAAGGCTAATTAATTAAACGATAAGTACACGGCCAGTAATATGTTGAGTCAGCTGTTTGATTGCTTAATTGAACTAAATGTTGAGCTCGTCTTGCATAAACAAGAAATTAAAAGAACACCAAACTTTCGCTGACATAATTGGAACAGTTACTTCGGCACGTACGACTCTGAAATTGTTTAACTTGATTTGAATTGCGTCGATTGGTCATTTTTATAATATATTGTTATATAAATGTAAAATTCCCACCATCTGTACGATATCGTTTTAATGAGAATTCCCATCCAACTAACAGTCTAGCCGTTTTTGTTTAATTTTTCGCGGATTATCGCGACAATAATTTCGCAATTGCTTCTTACGGCTTCCGTAGCGTGTGAGCTAATCGCGCGGAATTCTCGTCAAGACGAGAACAGTACAATTCACGGTCAATTACGTCCCACGTGATCGCTTTTAGTGCATAAAAGTTTCAGCAAATTCGATCCGCTTGTGTTCGTTCACTGCGCGTCGCTATGCTGCCCGCGGCTGAAAGGAGCGCTGTGTTTCTCCGTATACCGTGATAATTGATCTACTTTCAGGTCGAGGACAGACTCGGTAAGGTCGAAGTCCCCGTTGACGGCGTCGCCAGCTTCACCGGGCCCGCTGTCGAATTCTCTGCACGGCAGTTTCCACGGTAGCTTAGGAAGCGATGGCATGTCCTGCAGCAGCGCCAGGTCCTCCTCAGCGTCTCCCGACTCCGCGAGGTACTCATCGTCGCAGGTAAGGATACTCGCAAACCTATTCGCCAGTCGGTTCTCCTACCGTCCGTCCGTCCGTTCATCGCGATCTCCTCGAACCTTCCGGTTTTAACCTACTTGGCAAATTAGCCGATCTCGGTGGGAAAGCATGGCTTTGACGGTTTCGTCACGCCTCCGCGTCAGTTTATTTATTTATTTAATTAAGAGAAATCCGCTCAGAAAAGGAAGATAAAAAATAATTAAAATTACCAATTATAAGATTGAGCTATACATATAACATTATGCATCATTTTAGTATTATATACTGAGAGAAAAATTATTTGAGGAATAAAAGATATTTATTCGGTGGGTACATTAATAACATATTTATTTGTACTATTGTACATGTTTTTACACTAAGAAAAAATACTTTTCAAGTGAAAAAATATATATTTTCTTAAATTTGTAGCTTTTTATGAAAGCAATTGTTTATTCTATCTAAGGAGGTTGTGAGGTTCAATGTTGTATTTTCAGTAATACGTCAAGGGAGCCACTTATAAATTTAGTATTTATCAAGAAAAATTACGTTTTCTATACTTTTATTCTTCATTGCCTGAATAATAAATGTTAATTTAAAACAAAGTTCAGGTAAATATATACATAATATTACAAATACGAAAATATTATTTTTATTTTTCTTATTAATACTATATTTATGCATTACTTGATTTAATAGAGATGCATTGATAATAGAAAGAAGTGATTAAATGTATGCATATATATTTCGAGTATTTTTTTACTATAAGTTATGAACTGACTTAAATCTATGCAAATGTGTTATTACTCACGCCAAATAAACATTTTTTAGATTTTTCTCGTACTGCAGACAAAGGCAGAAGCATCATGAGGTTACTTTCTTGTCGACAAAATAACGTTGACATTGTCGATCGCTTAAAATTGATAATCGAAACACACACACACACACACAATTACCTCGTGTATGCGACATCGTGCTCGCAGTGCGAGAGATCCTTCTTGCGGAGGAACGCCGCGAGACTCTCCCTGGTGCGTCACGTTGACCGCCCGATGACTCAGGATCATCGCTTCTTTTCTCTGCGCGGGAGTCGCACGAGTCAGTCGGCCGATCGATCAATGGTGGATCATTGCGCCAGCTGGCGTTATGATTAATCTGTTCGAAGAAGCCCCGAGCTGTGTGTTCTCGCGTGCTCGCGGAATCGATTTTTCCGCTCCATTTTCCGCGCGCGCGCGTGTCCCGTCTCGTTCTCATTCGCTCAACCTGCTCTTTGTGTGCACGCGAGCGTTTTTTTGCGCGCCGGTTATCGGCCTTGTGCGCAAAACGGCCGATTTGAAGCGAGGACGAGGAGTATGTTTATCAATCAGCGAGACCGACGTCTCTCGATATTCGCGCCGTTTTCACCGAGTCGCCGCCTACGACGCGCGAACGCGCGATCAATCGACGATCGTCGTCAGAGCCCTGAAGCCACCGCCGCTTTGAATTCCGCAAGAATCATCGGCTGCCGTCGTCCCGGTTCGTGCGGTTCTCTGATTTAATTATTGGCCCTTCCGCAGAAGCGCGCCCGGTTCCTCGTCGTGATCGTCATTCATACCTCGGTGATTCGCCATCACGCTCGGTAAATTTTCGCCGGCGAATGAGAGAAATTTAACGAGCGGTCACGCAAACGGAAGCGCCGAGCAAAAGTTGGCGGACCGGCCTGCGGATCGTCGTTGCGACGGGTGATCGTGTTCGGATAGGACAATGGGAAATAGTTATTGTCGGTCAGTAAATCTGCTGATATAGTTTCACAATATCTTCTCTGTTAGATGGCTCGAGTTATTAGGTGCCATCGTCCGTCTTTACTATCTGTATCGTCATGTCGCTTCGTCACCTGCGCTCGTTTCTTCGCTCTCGGGCCTCATTCTCGACGCGCGTTTGGCGTTAAACGTAGCTTTCTGGTACTCTGTTCCATTTCCTTCTTCTTTTCTCTTTCTATATGAACGTTACGTACACTGAGAGAAATTATAGTTATTTTCGGCCTCAACTATATTCCCTTTTTTATGGTTTTAATCATGAAAATAATGGTAACAATATGGAAAAAACTCTGTTAGTGTAATTGAATTTTCTGTCGCTTGAGGATCGGATGAAAACTCACTTATAGGAACAGAAAGATTTCCATAAAAGGTTCTATTCAATCAATTTCTCTCAATTGTCTCAATCGGCTCATATAGCACAATTGTTCCGAAGACATCCTAGAGACGTCCCAAAATGTTCGAATATCTGAGACATCTCTAGGATGTCTTTTAATCATTTTTGCTATATGGAGAGTATTAATGCAACTCTGAATGTTCACACAAATATTCTCAGTCATATTAACAGAAATATCATTTTTCGTCACTGAGTTTTCATTTCTTGTTTTCACTGTTTTCATCTGGTTCTTATTTAGTTACAGAAAGTGAGATTTTTTTCGTGTATATAAAGTAATCACTGACACTATAGTAACGCTTACTAGAAAAATGCATGTCCTGACTATAAATTTTTTACTACGATGATTACAGTTACAAATGCCAAATATTCCCTCAGTGTATAATGTTGTTTCAGTTGGAAAATCGGAAAGACACACTTAATGTTCTACACGGATAAAACAATTTCATTAGGGTGACTGGATTTTCCGTTGCCTGATAACCAGACGAAAATTCAATTACAGGAGCGGAAAAATTCCTGTGGAAAGTTTCTGCTCAGTCAATTATTCCCAGTCGTTTCAATTAAGTTTTAATACAGCTGAATGTTCATACACTGAGATAAAAGTATTTAGAACTTGATTTGTGAAAGATATAAAGTTTATTTCATAGATACAAGGTTTATTTTTATAGAATAAGCGTTACATCTGGCAAGTAAATGTTTAAGTACTTTCTTCTCAGCGCACGAATGTTCTAAGTCGCAGTAGCGAAGATATCATTTCTCGTCACCGAGTTTTCATCTGGTTCCTGTTCAGTTGCAGAAACTGAGTTTTTTTCCGTATGCAACACAGTGCCCGAAACTGTCCAGTGCTCTCGATACAGGCGAATACATCGCGAGCGAACGCGGAACGAGTTTTCCAGTATGATGAAATACGGCCGACGAGATGTGGCACATCTCTAAATGAGAATCCGCGGGATTTACCGTGTGCAATCTTGATCCGCCATACGGCGTTTTCTCTTTATGTGTTGTAGATAACAAAGACTGACACTCGTAAACCGTCTGTGCGCAGATCGGGGCCCCCGAAGGAATTCATCAACGTCTGCCTCGACACGCACAATTTCTACCGATCGCGACATGGAGCACCGCCGTTGCGACTCAGCAAACAGGTGACTTTCGATCTTTCTCGCGACTATAAAACCATCGCCTGCCACCGTAGCTTCCAGGAAGCGAGGAAGCTTTGGTTTTTTAAGCTCGCCCATCTCTCCCTCGTTCTCGGAAACATGGGGGCATGTCTGCTGCTTTTTTTTATTGGAGACGATAAATAACAGCGTTTGTTTTCGTTTCACCTTCAGCTGTGCAAGACGAGTCAAGACTGGGCCAACATACTGGCGGCTAGGGGTAGGCTAGAACACAGGGCGAACATTGACTATGGAGAGAATCTCTATTGCATGTGGAGCTCCAATCCGAAGACTGTCGTCGGTGGCGAGGAACCAGTGAACGAATGGTAAGATTGTCCACGTATATATACACATCGATATCACAATCGAATTATCGCGTTATCCACATTAATGGCGCAGCCATTATTAGTGTCCGGACAAATTGGTCTGTTTTGATCGACCGAAAACTCGCGCGAATCTGTCTATTAATAAGTTGAGTGCTGCGCTGATCTCTATTGATCGTACAGACATCTAATTGATGATAAAATCATTTTAAAAAGTACAATAAATATATAATAATTCAGAGTATGTACTCGTATATCTCTTATCTCGTTTCATTGGTTCTTTATTAACTATTTTGTAGATGTAATCTTTTAATTATATTATAGAATTTTAGTTATATTTTATTATAAATGTAATTATGCGTTTTATTATATATATATATAATTATTTTTATAATTTTATATTTTAATTATAATTATATCAATTTTAATTATCATTATTATAAATTAATTAATATTAATAATTAATTAATTATATATATTTTATATGCAATTTAACATACAAGACGCAGTAATGTCAATACCGGTCATTGGTTTCACCTCCATGGCATTCGAAGTATTAAACATAAATTATCTAAAAATTTCCTCTCTTTGTATACAGAAAAGAAACTCAGAAAATTCAGTTACACCAACGGAATGTCTTTTTCCTTGTAGGTACGCCGAAGAGACTCAGCACCAGTACGGAAAAGAGCCCACTACGCTGAAGACTGGTCACTTCACGCAGGTGATCTGGAGGGACAGCACTGAATTGGGGGTAGGCATGGCCAGGAATCGGAACGGGGAGGTGTACGTGGTATGCAATTACAACCCGGCCGGGAACTTCTTAGGCAGCTTCATGGAGAACGTCCTGCCGCCCGTGGACGCCAGTCCCACGAAACGGATTAACTTCAGCGACCTGAAGCAAACACAGTCCACGATGGACGAGCAAGCGTGGCAGCAAGAGGCATTGCTAGTTCACAACGAGTACCGGAGAAAGCACCGCGTGCCGGACTTGAGGCTGAGTCCGGAATTAACGGCCGCCGCCAAGGTGATTTACGAGAATACGTGAGATTGGTAACATGTGCCGAAATTTCGTTGATACAAGTCGACCAATTGTTTGATTATTGCAACCAAATAATTTAATTCTGTATACCGCACGAAAAGAATAACTGCGTTTCTGCAACAGAATAGGGATCAGATGAAAATTCGGCGACAAGAAGTAATATCTCTGTTATCGCAACGCAAAACACTGTTAACACGCAGATTTTTGAGTTATTAATTAAAGAAGCTTCTATAAATGATCACTTTCAAATCAGTAATAACTCGAGATTTTGCGTGTTATTTGCAAAATGATATAGGACTTTTCTGCTCCGTTTCACCAGTTCTACTTGCGCACGGGAACCGAGATTAGTTTGAGACACCGTGTATATAGTATACAGGATTAAATTATCTGTAGTTGAAGTAATCGAACACAATTGATCGATATAAGTCAATAAAATTTTGATATTTGTTACCGAATCTTTCTTCTAATGCACACGTGACTTCGGTGTCCTTCCCCGCGGTCACGGACAATTTCAAAGTAAATATACGATCGGCTGCGGGTCGTAAAAAGCAACATAAAAATCACACGCCCGTATCGAATCGTATACATTCGTCACGATATGTGATTTCGTTGTCCGCAGGCCTGGGCGAACACGCTGCTGAATACAAATAAACTGATACCTCAGTCGTCATCCCCGTACGGCGAAAATATTTATTCGATGCAATGCTCCGATCCCAAGCTGATCGTTTCCGCACGCGAGGTCATCTCCAAGTGGTATTCCGAGAAGAAGGAGCACAAATTCGGCGTTGAGCCGAAAGTTCTCAACACATGTAAGTGCACAAAGCGTTATTTTCGCACACTGCTCGAATCAACTAAACGTAACATTTCATTCTTTTAATCGAACAAAGTAATTTCAATAAAAAAGCATTTCCCTCTTTTTTGCCATTTGCAGGTCACTTTACACAAATCGTCTGGAAGAAAACGACGGAGATGGGCATTGCGATGGCCAAACGGGACGGTACCTGCGTCATAGTAGCGTGTTACCATCCGAGGGGTAACATAGTCGGACAGTTCACCGAGAATGTATTGAAGCCCGTGAAGAGCGTCTGTTAGCCCGCGCTGTCGATAATGTATCTGAACTCTGTACTTCTATATCGGGCAGATATAGACGATGTCACACGCGTAATATATGTATATATGACACTTGTGCATACACGTAGAATAAACATTCCACGTACACGTATTTATTAATTTTCCGCTCCTGGTTCTTACCTTCGTACCTTTCAAGGGGATAGTCTCGTCATGACTTTACATTGAAATATTAAGCATTCTCTCACTCGGTCTTTTTCTTTTTCTCTTCATTGCTTTATAATAATTTATTTATAATAAATTTACATGCACATCGCACGCATCGCGTTACAACGTCGCATATATATGTGTATACATACATATATATATTTTTTTTTTTTATAGATACATTCTCTCTCTCTCTCTATTTTTCTGCTTTTATTATTTTACATTACGTACAGCCGTTTACAGTTGTATTTGTGGTCGAGGAATGCTTAATTACTTAGATCCTATCGTAAGAACCTGCTGGACGCCTTAATAAGACTCGCACCATTCGAAGAGAGCTCGCTCGAGGTGCGCCAAGCTCTTGCTTAAACTTTCGAAGGAACTTGTGCGTGATGTTCGGTGCGTCTGCGAGGAAAAACACGTGCGCCTCTCTTCGAAGTGGAAAACAAATTCGCCCTCCCATAAGTACGATCACTTCTAATTGGCAAGTCGGTGTAATTATCGACGAAATCGTTGCAATTAAAGGAGGAGAATGTGTACGTATGTGTATGTGTGAACGTTATTAAAAAATTGCCATGCGATTTGGTCGTTCCGGCGGAATGAAATACGTAATAATATTCATTTTCCTTCGATTCCGCGGACGATACGTATCTCTGGGGAAAGAGAGCCGTGTAAGTCCTAGTCTACAATAGATGCTTTAAGCCTTAAGAAATTGACCAATCACAATCGAATTATAGAAGAATAATCAATTATGATTGGTCAATTTCTTAAAGCTTAGAGCTTAAATTCTCATTGTAGATTCCGCTTAAAATACCTGACGGAGATATTGATAGGGAAATGCCTATCGAAATTAAATGCACGTCATGATCCTGCGAGTATTGCGTGAGAAAAGAATAATAATTTTATCATATATATCTAGTGCTAAACGCAACTATCTGTGAGAATGTGTAGGTATGCCTCTGTGGTTCTTGTTTTACATTTATGTTGAAGATAATCATAATATATTAAACGAGCGTGGAACCTCTCTTTCTCTCTCTCTCTCTCTCTCTCTCTCTTTCTCTCTCTCAAAATCAGGCAAACGCGAGACACCACACTGAGAAAAATTTTCATCGGATAAAATGATGTATACGATTATTATTTTTATTATCCGACCAAATAATGGACACCTTTATCCGATGAAATATCCGATGAAGTTACTGATGAAGTTACCGATGAAACCTAATCGAAAAATTAGTCGCTTTCCGTATATCCGTTGTAATTTTCATCGCATAAAGACACGACTCGACCGGACATCGCACTTGATCGGATATATATCCGTTTATTATTTTTTAATTAGATTATCCGATCAGATATGATCGGACATTTTTCTCAGTGCAAACATGAGGGAAAGAATGAGCGCATAGTCGCGAAGAATATATTACACACGAATCGTCAAAAGGAAAATCGGCTTTGAAGACAAAGATGCATAGGGAGAAATCATCGGTTTTACACGATCTTCGAAAAATTCGCAGATGCTCAGATGGCGGTATATTTTCGCGTGAGAAAGGCACGAGAACTTGGAAGAGCGATCTTGTGAACGTTGACGGTAGAACGTTGCGCTCCCCAAGCCTTGCATCACGAATGGAGGAAATGACACACCGTTGAAACGACATTGAATTCCGCAGTGCGAGTTAAATCGACGTCGCAAAACGTTGAATATCAAGCCGGACAGCATAGATTTCTGAAAGACGTCTTAGAGATATCTAAGGTACGTGTTAATAGTTTTCATTTGAAACTGACAATTGTCACTTGATATATCAAGTGACAATTATATTAATTTAAACCTAAAGACCTAAAAACGTCCTATTTTTTTCTAGACGTCTTTTAGAAATTTGTACTGTCTGTACGGAAAAAATTAGTATCGATTCAAGTATTCTCATATATAAGTAAGAATACATAATCCTGTATGAAAATAAAACTTGCTCTTAAATAAAGAAATCGTACATAGTTTCACTAAAAATATCATATTTTTGTTATTCAAGAATTATTTTATGAATTAAGAAGAAAAATATTGGATAGAAAGAACGGTATCTTTAAGTTGATACAATTCTTACATAATAAAAAACATTTTGTACTTGTGTTAAGATCGGTCCTTGTTAAAAGTTTTGTGTTAAATTTTTTAACATACCCATGTGTTAATTTAATATATTGTGTTTATGTTAATTTAACATATTGTATTTATGTTATCTCAACATTTTGTGTTGTGTCGATATTCAACACGCATAAGTGTTAATTTTTCATATAATATTTGTGATATTTTCATATTCATCCCGTGTTAAATTAACACAAAATTTGAGTAGAGTGTTTGGGACATATGTGTTTGGAAAATGTGTTTAAATTTAACATAAAATTTTTTACTGTGTAGTTTGAAGATATCTTTCTATTCACTATGTTTTCTCTCAATTTTTAAAAATGACTCATCAATGAATATATTTTTAGTAGAACTATATTGAATTTCTTGATGTACAAGAGAGAAAGAGAGAGAGAGAGAGAGAGAGCAAGTATTATTTTCATACAAAATTATATATATTTTTGCTTAATGTGAGAGAATATGAATCTTGAATTAATGCTAATTTTATCGTATCTGTATGGGAAGTAAGGCGTCGACCTCACCGCTTCAGTCGTTGATTTTCGCTCTTGAATTTCGCGTTACGAGTTTAACACAAGTCGAGGTATGAGAGAGTGTGAATGTGACGATTATATACATATATTTCTTTCAAGGAATCAAATTAAATTCTTATGTCTCGTTAAATATAATCTCTCTTGTTCCAACGAAACTCGATTTTCTGCCTTTCGAAGAGTTGAACACACGTCGCACACACGATGTGACTCATTGCGCTTCTCTTCGCATCGCGTGGGAATCGCGATTCGCGCATGTTACACAGGACTTCCGCGCAAGGGGGTCGCAAAATCGACCGCGCCCTCATTCGAGACGTAATAATTCGTGCGATCTTCCTCCCGAGAGCAGCGAAGAGCGCCTCGCGAGAGATCGTCGTGACTTCGCCGCATTTAAATTCTTTTACGTGGTATATTCTATAAGATTATTAATTTGAATTCAGCTATGAAGAGTCAGGTCACATCATATTTTGGGCTGATCCTAGAATTAATCGTAAGTTATATACACGCCCCGGAATGGACCGCTTCCGCTCGCTCTCGATGCTCGGTCCTCAGCGCCAAATTCACACCTGCAATCTCGCGGCTCACCTAGGACCTTTCTTCGATACCGGGGCGAAATCTCGATTCTACGACACGTTGCCCGACGAGCAGTGAGAAGCGTCTCCGGATTTGACGGGGATTCTCGTCTCAAGGGGAAATAGAAAAAAAAAAAGGAAAAGAAAATATAGTCCGTTGTCGGGAGGCGAGAGGATCAGTCCCGATCTACGATAAAAAAAATAAATAAAATTAGTGTGTTAAACTTTAAACCTTAAGAAATTAATCAATCACAATCGATTATTCTCTTCACATTCGACTGTGATTAGTCGAATCTTTTTCTAAGGCTTAAGGCTTAAAACACCAATTGTAGACCGGGACTCACAAGATAACCTGGACCACCTTATTATACGCGCGATGGAACTCCAGATTTCGCGCAAAAAGCCACTCGAAGGGAATGGAGACACGTTGTTCTCCTCATGCAACCTTCTCCGCTCTCGCCGGGAGTGGAGGCGACGCTGGGATTATCGCATAATGATAACAATACGTCGGACATGTCCCAATCTCGGGTAAAATTATATAAAACTGCCGAGCTTCTCTCTAAGGCGGTTACTAATTTGGGACGAGCTCGCGGAGATTACATCGAGCTCGCCGAATCGACTCTCGGGGATCTACTTGTCGTTCTAATTTACGACATAGAAAATCCTTCGTCCTCCTCCATAAGCTGACTCGCTCGCTCGCTCGCTCGCGCGCTGATCTACGTATAAAAGTCTACAGGTCGTCGTCGCCGGCGAGGATGACACAGTCGGTCAGCTGCTAATCAAAGAGAGAAGAAAAAGACGAAGGCTAACGGAGAGTAAAGAGCGGCACAGTGTGTGAGGGAGAGCAGTTCGATTGGGGGAGGATCGAAAGCCGCGCGTGGCTGTGCCAGGTGTCGCGAAACGACAGGTCCTGCCTTGGTCGGACCTGTCGAGTAACGAGAATGCGATAACTCGATGCACGGGACACAAGGACACCGACGTGTGCAGAGTAATGATCGTGTAATCGTCCCCTAAGAGTGGAAATATGTTTTAAAACGTGTTTTACGTAAACTCAACAATTTGGGTAATGACACTTTTCACGTTTCTTCATTTGCACACGGAAAACAACCAGTTTCTGCAATTAGAGAGGGATCACACGAAAGCTCGATAACGAGAAGTGATATATCTCGATTAACGCAATTGAAAACGCTTCTGTGTATGTTCGCATTGAGAGAAAAAAATTTGGCGTTTGTAATTATAATCATCATATAGTGAAAAAATTATATAAGTGCATAGGAAAGAAATTCGGAAATTCCTACAACCGAATGGAGAGTAAATGAAAGTCGGTGATGAAATATGAAAAGTCGGCGGCGAGAAATGATATTTCTGTTAACGTGACTAAGAACATTCGTGTGAACATTCAGCTACATTAAAATTCGATTGAGACAACTGAGAGCAATTAAGTGGAAAAGATTCTCCTACGGGAATCTTTCTTTTCTTACATAACCATTTTCGTTTGATTCTATTTTTGTGTTTAAAATCATAAAAAGGATGTAGCGTTGAGCCGGAAAATAACTGTAATTTCTCTCAGTACAGCTGTATTAAGACAACTGACTGAGTAGAAACCTCCTGCAGAAATATTTCTGTTCTTACAATGGAATTTTCGTCTGATCTCCAGGCAGCGGAAAATTCATTTACACTAGCGGAATTATTTTTCTCGTATATACAGGAGAAACATTTT